GCCGATCATGCCCTAAGCTGATGATTTCAGATAACGGAGCAAACTTGGTAGCTGGAGAAGCATGTCTACGGGAAATCTGTTCCCATCCTGCAGTTACTTCCACACTGGAACAGCGTCATTGCAGATGGAAATTTATCCCTCCGAGAGCCCCATGGCACGGAGGATTTTATGAACGGTTAATAGGAACTGTAAAAAGATCCTTGAGAAAATCTCTACACCGTCAGAAAATCAATCTTCAAGAACTCCAGACAGTAATCACGGAAATAGAATCAAGGGTGAATAACCGGCCGTTGACTTACTTGTCTGAGGATCCTACTCAACATGAGCCATTAAGTCCTGCCCACCTAATGTATGGAAGACTTCTGACTCCAGTACCATCTCTAGTGGATGATGAGATCAGAGATCCCTCATATGTGGGTCAGAGCGAGTTGGTTCAGGGGTATAAGCATCTGTCCAGCATAATCCAAAAATGGAATGATGTTTGGACAAAAGAATATCTTACATCTCTACGAGAACATCACTATGGGGCCAATGTCCCACATAATATATCTAATCTCCAACCTGGCGATATTGTCTTGGTAGACAGTGATGGCCCTAGGGCTGACTGGCCATTAGGTAAAGTTGTCTCAGTCCATCCAGATAGTCAGGGGATTTTGAGAATAGTCAAAATCCTGTCTAAAGGAACAACTTCCCTGAAGACATTGGACAAACTCATCCACATGGAATCAGTGAGCCAGCTGCAGTTAGATCCTGAGAGACCTCAAGACACTCTAACTCCACAAGACCCACAGACTCCTAACAGACACAATCGTCCACAACGGACAGCAGCACAAAAGTGCAAGCAAAATTTGCACTTGTATTATCAATCCAATGGAGAGTAAATAAATACATATGGTTACTATTGTCCTAAGTATTGGACTCTGTGCCAGTTCTCTCCCTCTGGAAGATGTGGGAAATTTTTACCCACCATATCTAATAATCATCTAAGAAATGTATAATTTCTATATCATATCTAAATCATATCAAAATCATATCTAAATCGTATCAAAATCATATTTGAATCATTAAAGATTCATTATAGCTTGATCCTGGATGACAATGGCACCATGAACACGTACGCAACAGGGGCCCTTTTGATGCCTACGTGACTTTGTACATGATCTTTCAAGGATCCAGAAGCTTCTAGAAGGACTTCTTAATTAAAAAACTATTGGAACATTGATTCAACATCCGGTAGGATTAAAAATCGAATCCTTAATAAGATTCAGTGGTACTTTCAAATACTACTTATAATCTTTAAATCTTATATCTAATTATATTATAATCACATCTTATTTCAATAATAAGTCTAGACTGTAAAAATAATCAATCAATATTCATAGAAGGCTACCGTGCTCAGAGAGCATGGCAGGGCGATGGGGGGCGAGAAGCGCCCACGACGATGCCTCGCGGCACTCCGCGTTTGTTTACAAATGAGTGAACAAGTGACTGATCCTTAGCGAACATTACCAGCTCAAGGACACCTTATCTAACATTTTTATCGCCAGTGAATACTCTCTAGAACTGGGGGAGTACCTGGACAATATCTACAAGGAAAATCCGTGAACATTCACATAAAATAGAGTGTATAGTGGAGATCAGTGACACGGTTTCCTCCACCTTCATTCATAAACTTTTATCTCGAATCATTCTTCTGCAACTGCAGGATAATCACGTAGCAACGCTACCAGATCATCATACAGCAACGCTGTAGCAAAATATCGTGCCTAAACTCGACAAGAGAGTTAATCAGTCTGGCAAACTTGTCAGACAGGCACCCCGACTGGCAGAGAAGTATATTGAAGGTTATTTAGTGTATGATTGGCCAATTGTATGCTTGTGTAACTTTAATATCCTATAAATCTGTCTGTTGGTTAAAAAGCGAGGCTAAGCCTCACATTTCAGTAAGTTTATTAAAATTGTAGTGTAGCTGTGAATCTTATCCAAGCACTGAACCTCATGAGTGTCCATTCTGTCAGAAAAGAATTCAGCCTCAATAAGTAAAAACCTCACAAGTGTCCATAGCGTGGGAAGAGATTCACTCAAGCTAACTGTATCATATAAATTGAATATGTCTGCATATATATTTGAATATATAAATTAAGTTATCAATTGTTTGCTTAGTTAATTTTTAAGTTATCATATAAGTTCATTTAATTGAATATAATTTCTAGTACTTGACAGTATTTAGACTACATTTAAGGTCATTTATTATACTTTTACAATTTAATTTGTTGTTTATAGTATAAGTACATATTGGCTGTTAAGTTATGGTACTAGGTTAGACTATGTATGTTTAAATCTCTGATTTAAACAGAGCCAGTGTTCAGTCAGATAACTGAATTTATCAAATCTTATCCTTGTATAAAATACAAGCTGATGTGAGATCCCTGTCTACAGGTGGATTGGAACTTCTATCAACATAGTCATTCACCCCACCTGTCCCTTACAGCCCACAGTTTGTCATTAGGAAAAGAGGATCTAGGATTTACAACCCTAGCTAGAGATTTTAGTTGAATTAATTTGCAGACAGTAAATTTTTAATTTAGTTCAGTACAAGTCCCTGGTAGTCTCCTCTTATATCAATCCCAGCAGGTTTTTCCCACACCTTGGACATAACATAAAATTGCCAAGTTAACAAGTATGAAAACAGAGCTCTGATGAGCTCAGTGTGATCACATTAGATGGTTTATTTGTTTGCTGTTTCACTTTAGCTTACACATTATGTGGAATAACTCAATTTATTGAAATATAATTTACAAACCCAATGACCGAGTACAGTACAGTCCTATAATATGTACACCTATATTGCACATAATTCTATTCCTTGCACAACTCAAAGGATGCATCGTGCAACCCACTCCTTTGCTACTATTCTGTCTGGTAATGTCATCCAGAAAAGGATTCAAACACCAGCAGGAAACACCCAATTGCGATGTGGCAATAACTGCTTTGCTTGTAGTACAAGATAAACTCTTATACCACATACAAGGAGGGTGTATCTGCCATGGTAGCTGCTTCAAGAATGGTGGCCTTTAGGGATGCTGAGGCATGCCTGATTTTCTGGGGAAGCTCTTTGGTAGCTCCCTGAAGTTATCTCGCTGGGATTGCTCCATTCTAATAGGTCACATCAGTTGCAGAAGTTCTGTTTGGCCTGCTGGGCACCAGAGCCAGAACCTGGCCCTTATAGAAGCACTGGAAGAGAGTGACAATCCACCATTTCATTGGGAAAAGCATCCAGAGTCAGCAAAGCTTTACAGACAATTATAAAGTTCCCAGAAGACAAAGTCTTGAAACCATTAAACAACTCCACAAATAATTTACATGAAACAAAAAATTCATTCAAAACTAGCTTGAACCCATTAGTACCAATAGTCATCACCAGGCAGCTTGGCCCTCAGTCTCCAGCCAGCTCCCATGCTCAGTTCTGTGGCTGAAGTTATGGTGCTAATACTTCCTGTAGTGCTATGAGTTCGTCAATTTATAGCAGATGGGCTCACTGCGAGCTAAGTGCCGGCCATTCGTGGACTTCGTCCTGAACGGGACCATTTACTTGTTTTGCCCTTTGATTTTAGTATTAGCTTTATGTGCATGTTCTCTTTCTGGTTTGTTGTGTGGTTTTGGCTTCTTTTGTACTTCAAGCTGCATGTGTTCTGAGGTTTTCTTCCCTGAGTGGACCTCTGCATCAGTGTGGAACAGGCACCTTCCCTCTTAATTTGCTTCATTTTCTGATTGTGAGGCTCCCAGTGGATGCCTTTTGGCTGGAGTGATCGAAGTGGAGGTGCATTTACCTCATTCCTCTAGTTCAGTTGTTGCTCTGAGTTCTGTCTATTTGGGGAGGGCCCAGTACCGTACTTTACTGGTTCAAACGTCTCAGCTCTACACATTTAGGGCTTTTGATGTGGGTCTATTGCCATTTGTATGGCAAGCAGGTGGCCAGATCATTGGTATTCCACTTGTTTCTTTCTTCACGGCAGCAGTGACACTGCCAGGTGGTCATTTCACATCTTTTGGGCTCTTCATCATCTTTTCTCGATTTTACTTATTTCGAATTTTAACATTGTGAAAATCAAGGTGACTTATCCCTCAAGAAACTAGAACAACTTAGTATCTCAAGTGAGATCCCTATGCTCACCTGTACTTTATTCCTGGTTGAGAAGGTTTTGTAACAGGACAATGTATTGGGAAATAGTATTCATAAGTATACGTAAGTCTAATATAATTTGCAATACTGCAGATTTTTCATAAACACACACACTGACACTCACACATGTAATCAAACACACATACATACACATTTACCTACCAAGATATGTACATAATGCCTTATAAAGAACAAAATTCTTCTTAACAAGGTCTATGAGAAATTGACGACATAAATTAGTAACACTTACTACTAATCTGACAACTGCAAATTGTACACAAATATGAAGTGATGCTACTGAAATCAATGTAAAAGTTGGGAAGATCTTGTAAAGAGCAATAGCATCACAGGAATGTCAACATTACCTTGACAGCAGCATACTGACCTCCAACCTCAAACCTTAGAGAAGAATATAGATCAACACCAACAAGACAAGAAATTGATGTGAATTAAAAAATGCAGAAGTAAAGGCCTGTCAAGTCCCCACAGACCAAATCCCTTGTCATTACCTTTCAGCATAAAAAAATGTAATGCATATTTAACATATTTATGTTAAAATCCAAAAAAAAAATACAGAAATATTAATATGCACTAAATTGCACAACTATAGTACTTCATACTATTTCATGTAAAACTGACCATTTCTTTAACAAGTTAGTGTAAGTGAGAGTATAACACATGCCGTCTCCCTCAGAGCTTGACAGGCCTGGAAGTGTCAGATGGACAGTAATTGCCAAAAGGTTCTATATACAGTTTTTAAAAGAATTCCAATGAGAGATAAGAGATGTAATGAAACATGCATTTTTGACATATTTACCCTCCATCGGCTCTTTGCAAAATTTTTCTTGAGTTGTTCAGACACAGAGCTGTGAATATTTCTGTCGCTGGCTGCATTACCAGAAATCCTGAAAAAAAGTTTAGATTGAAAGATCTATCACTCATATTTTATTTTTTGTACATCAACCCTGTTAATCATAACTTTAACTATATAAACCCCAAAGTTCTGGGGTTTATATAGTTATAAATACTGGCATACAGTCTTAGTCAAATCCAGATAATTTTCTGATAAAACTTTGCTATATCTGGACAGAAACCTAATCTAACCTAATCTCCGGATAACCAGAGATTAGGTTACGTACATTTTTAAGAACTACACATCTCAAGATCTACAGTATCAAACAAGAAGTTAAACTACAACAAGGTAAGCTGACGTTTCTGTTTTAAATTATGTTTTTGATTTACAATGTATGTGTGGAAATTCGAATTATGTTGGTTGTGGTGCAAAAAATTGCAAATATGTTCATTTTTGGACGTCTCTGGGAATGGATTAAATTCATAAACGGAGGTACCACTATGTCTGTAATCTTCTTAATCTTGTATGTCCTTATATCTGGCTTCATCAGCAAACATGCTCATATAGTTTAGTACAGTATTCCAATGATCAAGAATTCCTGTTTGGAATTTTGACTCTAGAGCTAAGTGATGGTTACCCTGTGTGTATTTGCATAATTTTTCCCATGAACTGAAAATATGTATATTGTGTATTTCAATACAGTACAGGAAATCCACTGACTATCTACTCACCATGGGTGACCGAGAGACTGCTTACATGTATACCTTTTCTCAACATCAACACACATTAGCTGACGAATGAAATCCTTTGCAGAATCACTTATTTCATCCCAGTACGGAGAATCAAACTCAAATTCACCTGGAGAAATATAACAAATATATTAATGTTAATTATAATCAGAAAATCTTAAAAAAAAAAAACATTCAATAAACAACCAACCACTATAAGGGACAACAATTCCAATTCTCGAGTACGATCAAGTCGTCCACAATTTTGGTCCATTGACCGAAACGTAGATTGTCATTTTAGAGTAACATCGCCTGCACATTCAATTATATTCCATTAACATTTACATAAGGTATAGGATAAGACTAAAATACATTTTGTAGTGTTTGTTGAGCTCTTCATACTGTGACAGATAGAACCACAACAAAAGTTCCCTGATGATGCAAATAAAAGTGTAAAAACCAAAGAAATACAGTTTTCTAGTTGATACTTAATGCTCAAGTGTGTAGACTACTTATTTTAGATTCTATAACTTTAGTAGTCAATACTGTCTTTAATAAGTGGTAATTGCTAAAATAGTGTACAGTATATGGGTACTTTCTGTATTTACAATAATTTAGAGCTAAAAAAATCATATACTGTATAATTTAGAAGATATTGTTTGTGTTATCTGATGTGATAGATATATAAATTGACTGTACTGTATTTAATATGAATTACTGTAAGTATTTCTCTTCTGAATTCATTAAAGGTGGTACAGCATTTTATTAAATTTAACCTAAACTTTATCACCCCCTCATATAGAATAGTGAAACAGCAGAGTGCTATGTATGGTTACCAATGACACTGTTATTAACAAAAATAACAATCTTGAGAGGTTATCTTGAGATAATTTCGGGGCTTTAGTGTCCCCGCGGCCCGGTCCTCGACCAGGCCTCCACCCCCAGGAAGCAGCCCATGACAGCTGACTAACACCCAGGTACCTATTTTACTGCTAGGTAACAGGGGCATAGGGTGAAAGAAACTCTGCCCATTGTTTCTCACCGGCGCCCGGGATCGAACCCAGGACCACAGGATCACAAGTCCAGCGTGCTGTCCGCTCGGCCGACCGGCTCCCCCGGTAAAATCACTATATTTAATTATTATGGCTATCACCGTATCAATAACTTAAATTAAATCTTACTACAGTGCATCACTTTCATACAAATATCACAATATACAAAACATAAACATACCAAAATGACATCAAAATAATTATATAGAAAAATAGTTGTTCATAATATCTACATAATACCTACAACCTAAAGTACAGGAGTTGGGAGGTACATTATCCAGTATTCTACAGGAATGCTTTTGGGTATTTTTACTGGCATCTGCTTAAACTATTCTATGGTAATTATCTTATTGTAATGACCAAACCACACACTAGAAAGTGAAGGGACGACAACATTTTGGTCCGTCCTGGACCATTCTCAAGTCGATTGTGCAACTTGATACTTGAGGACGGACCGAAACGTCGTCGTCCCTTGACTTTCTAGTGTGTGGTTTGGTCAACATATTTCAGCCACGTTACTGTGACTCCTCATCTGCATCTTATTGTGATGTTCAAATAACTGCAGGTTTTTGTGTCACTTGGTGCTCCAATAACTAACCTTCCTTAGAATGCCACCCACAAGTCACCTAACTTTTAGGTTATTGCTAGATGAACCAAGGCATCAAACATAAAGAAATGTACCAACTGTTCTTACCAGGCAAATCTGCCTTGCTCGTAATGCCATATCATGAATTATTTTAGTGCAACATGATGATATATGAAGAAATATGGTTTTGGGATACTTAAATAGATTTAATCTACAACTAATATTTGTTATATTACAGTACTTACCTTTAAGAATCTGTGCGAAAAGATTGGCATCATTTTCATCATAGAAAGGAGGATTACAGTGGAACCTCGGTTTACAAATGCCCCAATTTACAAATTTTTTGGTTTACGAGCTCAATTTCTTTGAAAAACTCGACTCCGTTTACGAGCTTTGCCTCACTTGACAAGTTTGTTGATACACATATGGGTCGACCGAGCTCATGGTTTCTGGTGGCAAGGGCGAAGCGTGCTTAAGTTTACCAGTGCCTCCCACCTAGTGACGATCGTACTTGAATTCTTTGTAAAGAATTTCATTGTTTTTCTGTTTTTTTTTATTTATGAACATTAAGGTAATTATTACATATCATGCCATGGGTCCAAAGAAAGTCAGTGGTCAGGTTCAACCTAAGAAAACAAATGTGAGGATGACGATAGAGAAAAAACAAGAGATCATTCATAGTGAGACAATGTGATGTCTCACTACAGACAAGTGTTAAAACATAGGGAAATGTCTGTAAACAGATTCTTAGTAAGACAAGCAAGCAGTGAGCCACAAGCAGGTCCTAGTGGTATGCCTGCAAAACGTAAGAGAGAGAGTACCCCAGAAATGTCATCAATGCCTGATGTTATAATGGAAGGGGGGACTCCCCTTCCAAATACTGTACATACAAACACCTCTCCTCCTCCCACCCTCCTCATCATCTTCCATATGCCAACAAGAGTCATCAATAATGGTAAGATATAACTTGTACATAGTGTAGTACAAAATATTTGCAGTATTATGAATGAAATGTATTTTTAAGTTAATATTTTTGTGAGTTTGGAATGGATTAATTCAATTTACATTATTTCTTATCGGAAAATTCATTTCGGTTTATAAATTTTCGGTTTATGAACCGTTCTGGGAATGGATTAAATTCGTAAACGAAGATACCACTGTATAACGCCACTTTCAAAAGGTGAAACAATGGAGTGGTATTAAATAGCACGAGAATAATTGTTAAACATACCAACATAGCCCGGAGTGCCACATGCCGTTGCCATGATGCCAGAGTCTTCCATCTTACTGAGGCCAAAGTCGCTGATCATTATTTTGCTCTCCTCATCTTGACTGAAGTACAGTAGGTTTTCAGGCTGTTGCATAGGAAATTATTCATATAATAATTTTATATTACAAGATAATGTCATTTTCCAATTTCACTGTCATTTAAGTTCTATGCAAGAAAAATACCAAAAAACATAGAGGGTATTGAAAAATGTTCTTGAATTTATTCTCTGGTCCACATGATAATAAGAATCTTATCTAAAAAATAATGCTTAGTCCTAAAGAAAAGAATAAGGTCTTTAAGAGACACTAATTTTCTTACCTAGTAACTCCATTTGAAGACATATTTTAGCATGTGATCCGTACCTTAAGATCCCTATGAACAACGCCTTGATCATGCATGTAATCAACTGCTTCCAGCACTTGTCGTATTAGATCAGCTGCGTCTTTCTCTGTGTATGAGCCTTTTTCCACTATACGGTCAAATAGTTCGCCACCAGTTACTCTGGAAAGAAGAAACAGTGCTCCAGTCATCTGGGTCTTGTTTGCATTTAAAGTTTATAGAAAAATGTATATTTATATGGTATACATGCTCATGTATGAAAGTCTTTTACACAGTATTTTTATCAAGTGAGAAAAGGCCTTTAGACAGTATTTTAATGAAGTGAGAAAAGGCCTTTACACAATATTTTTATCAAGTGAGAAAAAGGACTTTACACAGTATTTTTATCAAGTGAGAAAAGGCCTTTAGACAGTATTTTAATGAAGTGAGAAAAGGCCTTTACACAATATTTTTATCAAGTGAGAAAAAGGACTTTACACAGTATTTTTATCAAGTGAGAAAAGGCCTTTACACAGTACAGGTATTTTTATAAAGTAAGAAAATGTCTCATTGCAACTGCTGACTCTCAAACCATAAACTTATTGGCCATTACATACCAAACAATCTTATCATTATTCAGAAATATAAAGTGTATTCTATTTCTGCAAAACATAATGCTAGATACGTTAAAAGACAATTTATAATAAACAGAAAAATAAACAAACATGAATTATAAACTGAATACAAAATTTTGTTCTTTGATTGTATTTAAACTATGTACAATACATGCATACTGTACTGTATTAATGCTGTCAGTTTATTGACACCTGTAAGAAGTCTTGAGCCATTGAGAAAATGGATTTGAATTTTTGTTCATGATTAATTCCATTGATGAGTAAAGATAATAATGTACTTTATGGTTTCATTAATGTTCATATTTTTATTAATTTGGTTAAGTATATATTTAACCGGTTGGTCCACAAACGTACATGACACTATAAGCCCATCTTAAAATTCATTAATCAATAAGCTGAACCTCAATATACGTCTAACATATAAATACACTCTGGCTGCCTGTCCTCCGACAATGAATTTTTATTATTATTATTATTATTATTATTCAATTATCTTAAGATGATTTTCTTCATATTATTCCATTTCTCTTGCAATTTCTTGGTATTCAATAGCATGTACTAAAGGTGTCTTCATTATTAATAAGCCAGCTTCAGCTACTGCCTTTGTATTTGTAAACAAATGCTAATCAGTCATTCAGTATGTGCAGTATACAGCATGTGTTGTTTAATGAATTATACAAGACGTCCAAGTAACCCCAAAAAGACAGTCATATGATTGGCTCATTTATATAGGTTTATTAAGGTTACATTAATAGTCTTCATCAACTGGCAAGTGAACCTTTGTTCTAAACAAAGATTATTCTCAAGTCATATCTGTATATTATTTCATATCCAAGCTTTAAAATAGCAGCCCGTCCTCACGTTAGTACATTAATGAATCAAGCGCACACAGTGTATTTTGGAACATGTACTATTAATGCAACTGAACAAATTAACCTACCTAAGCTAATCTAACAAACCAAAGCAAACTAAAGCAAGCCAAACCTAAGTATATTAAAGCACCAATTAAACAATATATTTTGGAATTATTGTAATATATTTTGGAATTATTGTAATATATTTTGGAATTACTGTATTAAAGTGTAGCAACTATATTATGCAAGTTACTGTATATACTTGCTCCATATGCTCATTAGCGCATGTGCAGATAATGTGATGGTTTGTTAATTCTACATAACCTATCTCTAAGTTATCACATTCCTAGAAGTCCTACACAGATTCTTGGTCCACTAATTACAATACCCAACTAACTACAGTTAATACCTCTTTACAACCTGGTAGATGATGGTGAGGTGAGGTGGAGGCTTGTAATAAAAGCTTCAATAGCACATTGGTCAGTTGTTACGCCCTACTTATGCCTGTGCTACCTTTAGGGTGGCTTAATCTTCATCAATCAATTTATCAATCAATTGGTCAGTAAGTCAATCAGTCTAACTCAGATGCTTGAGAGATACCACACATCTTCAACATTCACCAGCAACAATGTAACACTTGAGTCTATTTCCTACCCTCACAAGCCAATTCAACCTCGACACAGAGCAGACAAGCCAGATTCCAACTGCATCGAGTCTTCACACATTCGAGCACTTGATTCGACCCCGCATTCAGAGCACCATGCTCTACACTCTCACCCCGCATCCGAGCTCTTTATCCTCCGGCCTCGCTCAGCTCTTTGCCCTGCTCCAGGCTTTATCTCAACTATGGTCATCCCTGTGGCGTGATGGTAAAACACTCGCCCGGTGCTTCGCGAGTGCTTTGGCCTGGGTTCATATCCTGGCCAGGGAGGATTGATCCAATGCCTATCCTTAACTTTAGCCTCTATTCACCCAGCAGTGAATGGGTACCCGGTTGTTTGGTTTGGCGGGTCGTATTCCGGAGAAAAAATTAGGATTAAGGACCTGCCTGAAATGCTATGCATGCTAGTAGCTTTACAAGAATGTAAGAACTCTTGTGTATAAAAAAAACTACAACACCACTACAGTGCCAACAAACCAACTGAACTATTTATTTATTTATTTATTTATATACAAGAAGGTACATTGGGGGTTAACAGAGAACATAGAATATATACAAGAAGGTACATTGGGGGTTAACAGAGAACATAGAAATTAAGTTGAATTTACATTCTTGTAAAGCCACTAGCATGCATATCGTTTCAGGCAAGTCCTTAACCCATAGACCGCACATATTACCGCGAATTTATGGGGCATAACATTGAAAAATATTCGAATTATGTAAAAATAACATAAAAATGTTAAACAAATCTCCAACTTATTGGCTTCAGTGTCGTGAAACTCATAAAACTATTTTCAGAAATTGATTTTAGACGAATTTTTGAAAAATAAGAACGTTTTATTGATAAGAACAGCTCATAATAACTATAACTGAAGGATTATGCAGTAATAAAGAAATGCAAGGACCTGTTCTATGCTCAAAGAAGAAGAATAGTAGTAAGAAGTGTCCACAAAGTGGGTATGCAGTTGGTGCCTTTATATCATTGACAAGTAATATATAATAACACAAAACATAATGAATAACTATGTTAATATGATCTATTTTGTTATATATCATATATATATATATGTCCAATGTTAATATATGTTACTTTCATCAATGTCCCAAAAATATTTTTTTTAGGGGAATTTTTTTGTTAAGATTTTAGTCATTTTTTCTCCTTTGTTTATTATCTGATTTTGTTTTAATCTTTACATCCTGGAGAAAGCATATGTTTTCATTACTATGTGAAGATAGAACGAAATTGGTCAACAAATAAGTCAATCACAACGAGCAAAACCTGGGACTTTTAATTTTTTTGGGGCTGATTTTTTCTCTGATTTCAAACACTATTTTCTTTGTCTCTTTAGCTTGTTTTGATGATTAGGGACCATATTAGGGCTTTTTTACTTACATAAAGTATACCCCTAAATATATCCCCTAAATCATTATATTTATTATAATTATCCCTATATTTTGTGTTTTTTGGGTTATTTTTTCTTGACTTCATTTCAACACATATTGACCTACAACTTTCACATATTTGAGTACGAATGCCAAACAATATATATTAAAACATACAATTAAATTGACGAATTAAAACTACCTTTATTCATTGTTAATAACTTCAACTTTAATTATCTCTGAAACCAGAGTGCCTTCTAAAATTCCAGTTATTAACCAATTATCACTATTTTGACATATTGTGTGCTCTGCTGTCTGTTCTACACTCCAATTAGAATGGATTTTATATAAACTTTATACATTTGGAGTTAAAAAAATTTTGGTCTAAATTTGCCGCATATTTCAAATGTCTTATTGACGATTTTTTTTACGGTAAACTATACTATAAACCTATATTCTAATTTAATGAAAATGAAGATCATATGCTATTCTGAGAATAATAACATTAAATGAACAATTAATGATAGTTCATATTTTTTATTCTGAATTGAAAATCTGAGGTTTTCAATATTAAATTTTAAAATTTATTTTGATTCTCTGGTTTTTCAAGTTATGCTGTGAACATTTAGACAAAGTTGGAGCATTTGCCTAATTGATTATGCAAAAAAAAAAAATTGGAAAGTGTTTGTGTAAGTTTTAAAAACTTATCTTAAATTATTTTTTGTCAAATCATATATGTATGTATTGTGCAGTCTAAGGGGCTAAACTAACAGATAATTTTTAGATAATTAACAGTTAAATTGACAAAAGATGTTTACAGGTACTTTACAGCTTTACTTTACAGGTACAGATAATTTGAAGAAGAATAAATACAGTAAAATTGACCAAAAAAATTTACAGGTACATTGCAAAAATTTTTGACATAAAAGCAGATTAGAATAATACACACTAATAACAAACTTGTTATTATTACTATATTATATTATTATTACTAACTAAATTATTATTAACTTATTATTATGTCTATACTAAAATATAAGTTTAGACTATACTAAATAAATATAATTTAGACTATTTAGATTGTACTAAATAAATATAAGAAACCACTATACTCTGTGTCATATCAGCCAAACATGTACTGTACACGTAAACATACGTTACAAAGGTAATGTGAAAGCAACCTTGCATGTGGTGATTACCATGAAGGGACATACCCCTGAGAACAGGTTGCATAAATTAACCTGACCTGACCAGACCAAACCTAACCAAATCTAACAAAACCAAATCTAACCAAACCAAATCTAACAAACCAAACCAAACAAGGAGGAGGGACACAATATAATCACGTTCATAAATTAACTATCTAAACAGTAGAAAAATGCACTACGTGTTACTAGTTATATAATGAATTGACCCGAATGAAAGTAAATGAAGCATGAGTAAAACACAACTTTGTAATGTTTATGGAATGTGAGAAAACATATTTTAATTGTTTTATAATATAAAACATTACAAAGTTGTGTGAAGAAAATATATTTCCTAAACCAAATAAGTTTGTTATTAAAGATACAAGAACAGTATACCGTCATCTTCCCAAGTAGTCAATGATGAGTTATTTAACCATCACCTCTAGCAAAGCCCCCTATGGCT